GACGCAGTGACCGTCCCAGCAATGTTGGAGCATGGTGGTCATCTCGTGTGCCAGTAGCCACTGATGTCCATGGGCGCATTGAAGCTGCTTGACAAGCCTGAGAGCCTGGTGGTGGAGAAGGTGCAAAGCTGACATTGAAGGCTGAGATGCATGCGCTTGGTGCAGTCTTGCAGGAGTTCCATGACTGATCCATAGTTCAGAGCGTGGAGGATCTCGGTGAGATCTGTGTCTTCCCTGGGTGCTTCCGGGATTCTGGCTGAGGCCAAGGCATGTTCAGGCCGTAGATGAACTTGAAGGTGTAGATCATTGAGGCATCCGTACGTGCACAGGTGGCAGGAATGGGCCGGAGCTGCCGCCAGAGATGTGGCTGGGATGCCTATAGGATGTCCAAATGCAAACAGCTGCAGGTTGACCGCTGCAGCACAGAGATGTCAGATGTCCTTGTCAACGTCGAGGACGTAGGCAGAAAGCACAGGGATCATGATTGCGGGCGCTCATAAAGTCTCTACCCGCTTGCGCAGCTCTGTCGGCCAAGTCACTGTGATGATGTCGTACGTGGCTGGTGAGCTCCTGAGTTCTAGGAACGAACCTCTGACAGAGGATGCAGCGTGTGCTCAGGAAGCTGCGGAGCGTGTCATCCTGGGGAATGTCATCCCAGGACTCAGCCATGATGTGCACTCGGAGTTGAAGCTGAGCGCGCATAAGGTCATCTTGGATATCCTTAGAGGCATCAAAGACCAAACACGCTCTGCTTTCGATGTGATGAATCAAATGATGCCAATTGTGGAAAACATGATGACAGTGCGAACAGGTGGGAAGTCCCGAGTGGGCATCCCTAGCTTGGTTGAAACTAAGCGGACGCTGCAAAAAGACCTTGTGGCAGGTCATGCGGTGCATAGACAAAGCCTTTCTGGTCGAGAAGGCCGCCTGACAGTCGGGGCATGGATGCAGGATATGGCTCGCTGTCAGGTCTGTCTCGGAAGGACTGAGTGTCCAATGTTGTTCAATTGTGTACTCATTGGCCTATTGTGTGCTATATCTGTGGTCGTCAACAGTTCCTGCCTTGACTTCAGCTGGTCGGCGTGAGAGGTCAATCTATGCAGGAAGAGGTCAGCAGCCCTTGGTAGGCTATTGCGACGAAAAAAGTCCAGGTGGCTGCGGCCTGTTCGATATGGGTGGTCTCTATATATTTCTCTGATCATGGAAGTGATGGTGGAGATCAGTCTATGGCAACCCTTGGGGGTGGTTCCTATGTCGATTATGCCATACATAAGGACGCTGAAGACACAGGACGTCCAGAGGTGCATTTTCTGCTGTGTGGTCAGGTAGTGATTGCCTCTGAGCCACTTCCGCAACCTGCGGTGTGCATTTTGACCGCTCTTGATGCGTGATGTCATGGTGGCATCTAACATATTAGTATAAATGATCACGATCCCTAGGTACACTGCTTGTTTGACCAATCGAATCATGGAGACTGTGCCATCTTGACGATGTATACGGACGAACCAGCCATCTTTTGTCCTGCAGGTGTGGCGGTTGAGGAGCCGTGCAAGGCCGGGCCCTTTGGCTTTAAGCAACATGTGAGTCTTGGTCAGATTGATGACCAGACCAGTGGATTCGATCAGGTCAAGGAGTGCGCCCAGTTTGGACAAGCAGCTTTCGAACTGTGCAGGTGACATAAACAGGTCACTCACATGGAAATCATCGGAATTGATGCATTCCAGAACCCATGGCCTAACAAATTATGCACTTTTTGCAACAAGTACCACATGGCAACGCTCCACAATGCCGGAGTGCCTGTGCATCCTTGGCGGATGCCGAGTTGTGTTGGCGCACAATCTTCAAAAGTATTGGTAGTCACAACATAGTGTGCGTCTGCGTGCCAACTGTGCATGATGTCTGCCACAAGTGACCGAGGCCATATGGCTTGAAGGCTTTCAAACAAAAACGGCCGCGGCATGGAATCAAAAGCTCTTTTAAATCAATCAACAATTGTAGACCACCACAGACAGCCATGGGCAGCAATGTTATGCGGGGTTCTACGCTTTTGAGAGTTGACGGGAGCTTGAACTTTCATACAGTGTGTGGTCACTCTGGTGATGGCATCTCTGGTTCCTCGGCATGGTCACGAACAACAGTGGCCAGGAGGGTCATTACACATTTGCCAATGGGTTCCTGTAGGGCTAGGGGTCTAAGATTCTCAGGAGTATCAGCGGGTTTATTAGGCTTGGTCAGCCACACTAGCCAACTGTTCTTCCAGGCCGGCGGCACAAATGGAGGGGATTGTCCCCACCAAAGTTGCAGGCAGTGGTACACATGTTGGGCCAGGTCATACGCAAAAGGTGCTAGTGAACCTCCCGAAGCATATGGCGAAGCAACCGCTTTAGACCACTTAAGATGACTTATGGTTTGTTCGAGCTGTTGACACGTGAATGGCATTTGATCTTCGGTCAAGGCTGGAGCATTCAGTTGCACCTCTTGCATGACTGAAGAATGCATCCAGTGTGGGTCAGCCCACGTACTTCGAACAAAGTGTGTCATGGCGGTGTGAGACTCGAGTGGGCCTAAAGGCATGCCGCCTTTGTCACGAAGCTGTATTCTCCTTTTGTGAGTCTTGGGGGCAAGTCGATTGATGAGTTGGTAAGCTTTGTAAGTATCGTGACTGGCAGCGGCTCGGGCGGCCTCGCTCGTCAAATCATTCACACGTTGTTGACGCCATTCCTTGGCGTAGGCAGCATGTTGGCGTGCAAGACGTCTATATTGTGTGATCAGGGTCCAACATTCGAACATGCTTCTGAGAGTGGGTTTGGTCAGTTTTTTCACGAGCGTCCAGGCATTCCATTTTTGTTGAGTGGCCGTCTCCATCACGTTTCAAGTGGAAGGGCGTCGTCCTGGAGGAGGAAAATGTTGATCAAACTCTTCTCGAATCGCTGAATGCATTTCTTCTAACTGACGTGCCGAAGTGCCCCAGTCCCATTGGAGCAGGTGCTGAATCTGGGTCGAATATGCTTGCCAGGCAGCGGTGGTCCTGGCTCTTGCATAGTGACATTGTTCCCTTTTGTGCAAGGTCGCCGTCCTGGTGCGTTTGGTCGTGTATTTACGAAACCAATGCAGTGAGAGTGAACTTACTAGTGGAACATGGAAGATGGTTTGGTCGGCAATCAGTGGGAAGTCCTGATGTGGTCGAAATTCTTTGGACTGCTTGTCGACACAAATGCCTCTGGTGAAGACGTAGTCAATCTTGGATGAAACCTGACCATTAGTGAAGGTACCCGGGCGCATGTCGAAGCAATTGAGTCCAACCAGTTGGTGTGTCTTGACTATTTGAACTCTGCGCTGTCTGCGTGTGCCTCCGAGGCGCCCAGTGAGGGCCAGTGTGGCCTTGATCTGGAGACTGGAGCCAGGTTGGGCACTGACGGCAAGTGGCAATTGAGGTCACCTGAGCACACAAGCATGTTTCGACTCGGGAGTCGACGAAGGTATGTATCTAGTTCTTGCCACAGTTGTTTTCGTTGTTGAAGTACTGTTTGAGTAGCAGTGCCTGAGTATTGATAAATGGTCAAAACATCGATGGGTCGAGGCTCGGCGTGGATACGAACATGGGCTAATCGACCTGGGTGCAGGTGTGCCCTGGAAATGTTATTGCCGGTGCTAAGGGTCTTACGAACCATTATTAATGTGATTTGACTTTGGCGCCAAAGTGTAAACAGGTCCAGTGTGTGTCTTGCCATTCCAAGTCAGAGCGCCAGTGGGTTTCCGTGATGATGACCAGATCCAAGGCCATTCGATCTGACCATAGCCTCAATTCGTCGAATCTTGCTGGGTGTAGGCCACCACTATTCCATGTACAGTACCTCAATCTTTTATGACAGGACACCGTCGGTTGGCTGACATATGTTGGCTGCGGCGATCTGACCGGTGGGTTCCTCCAGTGAGAGCAACCTAGACTTTTTAGGGTATGCCACCGTCCATGATATTTGACAGTTCCTAATTGTGATGCTTTGCTGCATGCACGAATGAATGCTTTCTTCCGGGCGGATCGAACTGGGTCCTGCTGGTAGATTTCGCCATTTGAAGTGGCAAAAGTTGAGCTGGGCTAGCTCACACGATGGTCCAGCACCATCGTAACCCTCGGGCCACCAGGGAGCTGCATATGGGTTCATGCTCATGATGATCAGCAGCCAAATGCCAGCTCGTCTGGCTGGGGGTTTGGGACCCCAGCTAGTGCTCGGGCTTGGACGCCCTGCCGTGCAAGGTGTTCTCTGGGATCTTGATCGTTGTCCGCAGGTCGAGCAGCTGAGGAGGTACTTCACGGTCCTGAACAGGTGAGTCAGGTGGTACTCAAAAACGACCGAGATGATCCGGAGGTAGTGCAAGCAAGTGCTCTTCACCTTGTGCTGGATGAAGGGATGCCTTTCTTGGTGTTCTGGTCGTAGATGGGCGTAGTGCCGGTTATCGAGGGGCTCTTTGATCAGCAGGATGGGATCCTCCCTGACCATGGGGTGCAATTACACGTGACCGCACCAACCACGCGGCACCGCGGGCATCGTGGTTTGAGCACTAGTGGCCCTTGATGGATGGATGGATGGATGGATGGATGGATGGATGGATGGATGGATGGGTGGATGGATGGATGGATGGATGGATGGAGATAGGATGGGATAGGATAGGATAGGGTAGGATAGGGTAGGGTAGGATAGGTCAGGATAGATACGGCAAATATGGTAGACAGGTGACAGGATAGATAGACAGATAGATAGATGGATAGGTAGATAGATAGGCAGATAGATAGATAGATAGATAGATAGATAGACAGATAGACAGATAGACAGATAGATAGACAGACAGACAGATAGATAGATATATATAATGATATATAGATCCCACTTGAACGCTCAGTTTTGTTGTTGTTGCACTATGCGTGTGCCAATAAAGGAGCTCGATGTTCGCAGCAAAGGCAACAAAGTGTCCGCTTCCTGCCAAAATGTCTGTCGAGGTGCCAAAGGTGTTGGAAGAAGTCCAAAATCTTGATCTCTTCAGGACGAGCTTTGCTCACAAAGGCCCTGGCAAACTGTGCTACTTTGGCATCCGATACACCCAGAAGCGCGGGCTGCTTGCGCAAATACATCTCCTGAATGGTAGAGGTCAAGCCGGAACTGTCGCATTACTAGAAATACGCCCTGTGACACCCTCAGTTTCCCTGGGAAAATAAAGGCTAACCCTTTTCCACCTGTTCTTGTTTCGTGGGGTGTCCCCAATCCCAAAAAAATGTTTGCAGGTTATCCACTTGCTAGGTAAGATTCGGCGGCCTGAGTGGGTCTACACTACCAAAATGGACGCAAAGGATCTAAAAGGAAACTTCATACATTTCATACACAACCCAAGAGACCAAAGCCTTCGGAGTAAATTTGATTCTCCACTTCTGCACTTTCACAGGCTTGGCAACCTTTCCAGAAGGCTTTTGGACTGTGGCGAAGGCAGGAGTTGCAGGAACAGGCAGCGGCAATGGGACAGAATTTGGATCCTCCAAAATAGTTGACAAGGTCCGCGGCTTGTGTTCGCTGGCTGTGCCTCAATGAAGGCTGCGAACCCTATGCGTGGCCGTCAGTTGGCTATTCATGCAATGGACTGCCAAGCCTCAACGCCCCATCTATTCCCAATGTGCGTGAAAGGCAAAGGGTGGACACACGGTGGACCACGGTCAAAAACAAAAGAGTAACTCAAACATACTCCAGGTACTTTCGGGCAGTTCGGAAGCTTTGCCCATATCCTCTGGGCCAGCTTCTCCGGCAGCAGCTGGGGTCGCATTGCCTGAGCGTTTCTTGATTCTCTCAGCAGATTAGATTCAGAATTATATATAAGTGGTTTCAGAGCCGATGGCACAATCGCCGAAAGGTTGTTTATTTGGATCCCCATCTAAAAAACATCTTCGGGTTTCTACTCTGAAACCACTGTATGCTGCAAATTCCGAATCAGGTCTCTGGCCAGTGGAATATCAATCAGAGCAACATGTTTGAAGAAACAGCACAAGGATCTGAGCCCGGTCACTATCTTCGACTTTGCCAGCAGCACTCGTCGCTTCGCCATCTGGGTCGTCCATTTGCTTGGATTCTGCATGCGTTGCGGTCGTCGCTTCAGCATCCGTCTTGGCGTGAAGGACTCCGCTCGCATCACTCGGCTGCGTTGCTTCGCTCGCATCACTCGGCTCCTTCAACTGTGTAGACGAGGCAGTCGATGCTTGGGCGTTGGCGCACGTGTCCGCCTGGACACACAAAACAGTTTACAAACAAGGACCCCTTATTCATTATCTGATTAGACTTTGATAAACATAGTAAAAAAGCAAACAGAAGAAATTGCGGCAAAGTGTTTCAAGCAAAATCCAGCGGCATCTTCTGTAGTTGCTTGTTGCTCCTCTACATTCTCTGTCTTCTGGCGCGCATCATGAACTATACTCTTGCGTTCACTTCGCTTCTCCTGCTCCAGCTGCCCAGCGAAGGAGTCTACCATGTCCTTCAAGCGAACTTCCAGGTTGCTGTTCCAAACAGCAGCAGGCACAGTGATGCGGCAGTCCAAATGTCCTACCTCTGCAAGCGTCTGGCGCTTCTCTTCATGAAGCATACTGTACCGGACAAACCTGGACAAGGTATTGGTGACCCCATCAAAGACCAAGTTTTCCATGGCTTTTCGCTTCTTCTCTTCTGCTTCCTTCTTTTGAAGCATCTTGGCACGCGCATCATGCTCGCTCAGTTTCTGCCCACTTCCAGAGACATAAACCAAGCCCTGGCCCTTTTTGTCCTTCTTCGCTTCCCTCACACTTCTTGCAGCTTGCAGGAATCTTGGAACTCGCTTGGGCGGTCCCTTTCCTTTGGCATCGCTCTTGGGCTCTTCACCTGCAGCTTCTTTCACTTCAGCGGGCATCTTCTGGGTGTCTTGTGCTAGACGGACGGCTTCTTTGGCAGATTCTTTGACATCTTCTCCAAGTTCTTGTGCTTTCGAGACTTTTGTGTTTGTTCGAGCTCTTGCTGCTTTTGATACAGGCACTTTGGGTTCTTTGGGCTTTTCCCGTGACATGAAACTCCTGGGCTTGGGGCTGAGCAATGGCGATGCTGGGGTTGCTAGCGCTGCATAATCAATGGGAGAAATCGACACAGAGTCGGAATCGGAGTCCGAATCTTTTGCTTCCTTCGCTTGGTCTGTCTTGGGGACATCAGCGTTTACAGGCTCTTTCACCTCGCTGGCTTGATCTGTTTCCTCCTTTTCAAACGTGTTGGGAACATTCTCGGGAGGCAGCGACAGCAGCGCTGCCGCTTGAGCCTCTTCAACTGGCTCTCCCTGGTCCTCCGCGGGTTTCTCACTGCTCTGCTCAGCATCTTCCTCTCCACCGCTGGGCACCGCATCCGTCGTCTTGTCGGCCTTGGCGGCCTTCCCCCTTCGCACGCCCAACTGCTTGCGCATGGCCACAGCAGCCATATCCCGCAAAGAGACAACTGTCTCATCGTTTAGATCACCAAACTCTTCAAAAGCTGCTTCCTTCAATTCGCGGAATGTTGTCCTTTCAACATCTGCATGCTCCAAGAAAGATGCCAGAAAGGTTCGTAAGGCCTTTTTGCTTAGCCCCCGAGACTTGGGCACCGAATTCGTTCGCTCCCCGGTGGCTCGGCCTCCCCTTCCGCCTCCCCGGCCTCTTCCACGTCCAAGCCGTGAAGCCGCACCCATCTTGGCGCGCTTGAGACGCTTTGGCTCCTTCGGCTGCTTCGGCTGCTTCGGCACTTCAAGCTGATCTCGACCTGCCAACTTTCTCACGATTCGAAGGGCCACCTGATCCACACGGCCCTCACTGGGGAGCCAGAGCTGCTGGGCCATCTCCTGGAGTTCAGCCATCTCTTCCTTGCAAAGCGCCTGGTATCTGTCCACAGAATCCTCCGGCAAATGCCCCAGGGCCACCAGCTCATCAGCACTTGGAACAGTTGGAACCGCCTTGGACGCCTTGGCCCCCCGCACGGACGCCGTCCGCACGGCCTGCCTCGCCCGAGGCGCCCGTGGCGCCCGTGGCTTCGGTTGCTCCTGCGGAGGAGGCAGAGTGACCGCACGCTTCCCACGCAAACGCTTGGATGGAGCACAAGCAAGGCCAGCCTCCCGAAAGAGCTCCATATCCTCAGGAGTCGGGAACCAGTCGGCCAAATAGCGCAGAAGTCGGATGATGATGCGTTCTTTGGACCCCTCTTGAGGGAGCCATGCGGCATGAAGTAAGGATTTGATTTTTTGCGGCGACAACTTCACAAGCTGGCTGTACTTTTCTGAAGAGTCACTGGGAAAGTGTCCTTTGCTGGCCAAGCTTTCCGCTTCTTCCAACATGTCAGACTCCACAGGAACTACTTCAACTTCTTTGGAAACCTTTGCCTTCAGCTCATCTTTAGACAAAGGCCCTGCGGGCCCTGCGGGCCCTGCTTCCTTCTTCTGGGGCCCAGTCTTCGAGTTCTTTGACCTCTTCGCTGCGGGCTTCTCACGCTCTACACATTCCTTCGAATCTGCCTTGGAATCTTTCTCTGGTTCTTCCGATCTTCCTTCACTTTCATCTTTCTTTTCTGCTCCCTCCGGATCTGCCTGCCAAGTATTTTGTTGCAATTGAATTGTGGCTGCTTTGTTTCCGAGGCCAGACTCAACATTGAAAGTTGGGGGTGTAGGGTCCCAAACAATCATTGAAGTATCATCAGTTCCAAAGGACAGCCTAGCTCTCTCTCTGCAAGCACAAACACACCTTCAACGCAGCCCTTCAACTTCCATATATATATTTATACATTGAAACCCCTTGAAACCATCCTGATCTGCCTTCTCTCCTGTCGCTTCTGGCTCTTTTGCAGGATCCTGTTCCGTCTGTTCCACAGCTTGTGCATCCGTCATCGCCTCCTTGGCGGTTTTCTTGGCCCGCTTCGTTGTGACTTCCACGACTACAACCTTCGTCGCATCCTTTCCTTAGAGAAGCATTTGGGGTGTTCGTTCACCACCGGTCCTTCTAAGAGGGGATTGGTCTGATTGCTTCGCGGATGTGTTCTATTTTGCTCTTGGGGGAGTTCGGCAAATGTTTCATTGGGCTTGCGAACGCAGGATAAAGCTGGAGCTGCTAGATGAACCAAGATGAATAGGAGAGGCATGCGTCATGCGTTTAACAAAACAAATCTGACGGTCATCAAATAGGCTACTCACTGCACGTTAACCCGAAAGGAAGCTGGCAAGGTGTATGCTCTGCATCCAACCTGTCAGACTTAGCAAAGCCTCGAGAGCATTCAGGCACCCAGCCATGATGCGTTGCAAGGAAGAAGAACTTCCTTAGATTTGACAGCTTGCATAAAAGTCAAAGGTGTCACGTGAGAATCGTGCAACTCATCCGATTAAGCTGAGAAAGCGTAAAAGCCTCAACTCCCAATGCCAGCCCAGCTGCCGGTCATCCTGCGGATCGACCCACTCTTCTGATGCGTGGAAGATTGCGCCAGGATCCAGATATTCTTTGACATCTGTGGTAACATCTGGCTTTGGCAAAATGCCCACCTTATGCTCAGACGGCTCAGACTCTCAAACAGCTCTTGATGTGGCACTCTGACGTCGTGGACTGTGAGTATGCCACACAAGATTATGAAAGAAAGCGTCAAGAGTCAAGAGTGAATGAACGACAAAAAAGTAAGCTTCAGCCTTCCTCAAGAAAGCCACCTTGTTCTTTGAGGTGATCTTGAACTTCCGCGCCTGTCCAGATTTGAGATTCACTCGAGCAATCTCAAGGACTTGAAAGTCGTCGAGTCATGTTGAGCACCTGCCTTCTGCTCTTCGGCTTTCCGCTTGGCCCGCGCGCGAGGGGCAGGAGGCTCCTTCAGCCAAAGGTCGCCATCGCTGAACTCCAAGCGGTCAGAGCTGACGAGGGCGGTGAAGCTTTGGCCGCCGATGGCGAACTCAAGCTTTGGCGTCTCACCTAGCAGTTTCAGAGCTCGTCAACTTGTCTGAGTGGCGTCTCACCTAGCGCGTTGGGAAGAAAGGAGAACTATAGGACCTAATTGACCATCACTCGGAGGTAGGTCCGAGCGCGCCCCGTCCGTGTCCGATCAGTGGAAGAGCACTGAGTTCGTGGGAGAGCCCGGTGCTCTGCATGGATCAAGAAGTCACACATCACCACACCACCTTTCTGCAAAGATAGCAATGTTTGGAAGAGAAAAGACAGGAAAATAAGAAGGTGGACTTGGCCCCCCTTTGACAGGCTCCCTTGGAAGCGACAGCAGAAGCAATAGGCACAAGCACAAGCGCAACCACGACATGACAGCGGCAACGAGCAAGCAAGAAAAGGGTAGAAAAGGATAAGGATAAGCAATAAGCAACACCCGCCAGCAGAACGGGAACATCACCACATGCAAGAAAGCTAGAAGGGAAAAGGCAAAACAACACGTCGCACCAAACAACAACAAGCAGCCAATGTTCATTAGCTCTCACAACACAATCCAAGAATAGAGATTTGAAGCCAATGTGTAGGCATGGTTTTTCATCTGGGGCAAGAACCAACAATGGGCAAACAAAATTGTAACTGTAGGCAAGAGCCAAGACAGGAATGGGCAAAGCCAGTACATCCGCCGTTAAAGTCTAGGCTTTTTTTTGCCCCCCCGGCAACGGCGGTACTTCGAAGATCTCCGAAGGTGTTCACAAATCATCACAAATTTATGTGAGCAACCCTTGTTGATTCGCACAAATGAAAAGTAATGTGGGCGTATATAGAATGGCGTATATAGATGCATTTCGGTGCCAAAACCTCCGAGTCCTGTAGAACGAGTTAGCCAATTGCATGAGAATGAGTCTATTTTGAAGCAGCTGCTCCTGAAAAATAAAGAAGACTGGGGACTGGAAAACGAGGTGGTGCCTAAATTCAAATCCTAAATAACTGGAATTGAACATTGAAAAGAAAAAGTCGAAAACCATAGCCAGGGAGATTACGACCATTAGCTTGAACCATGGTCGCACCAAAGGGTCGCTCTCCATGTGGCTCTGGATGAGGACCGCCCATGGTCGTTGTGCCACTGGAGGATCAAAAAGCTCCTAGTAATTAGCGTCCTTGCTCCTAGTAGTAACTTAGTACGGCCAGGAGCCCCTAGTAGCGTCCTTGCTCCTAGTAGCGATGCCCTTTGCTCCTAGTAGCATCCTCTACCCTCTGCTTCCAACTGACGCTGAAAGATTTCGTGCAAAAATGTGCAGGCCACGCATTGGTGTGGCCGAAGGTACGCGCGAATCAAGTCTCCCGAATGTGGGAAGGTGGTGCACGCATGGCGCGCCCGAAAGCTTTTCCCAAAGCATGCCGTGCGGGATAGAGCGGGGTACTGGGCTTGGAATATGCTTGCCTCTACCTTTGACTTTGCATCCAGTAGTAGTGGTTGGTATCCTGCCTCCTACCCACTGTAGCCTTCTATCGGGTTCCTACTAAGGGGTCGGCAGCACAAGCAGCACAGGAGCACTAGCCCAAAACGTTGCTAGGGAAAGAACGCGTTGGTCCTTGAATCAGCGGCATTGGTAGCCCTGCATTGGGTCCGGCAAGGAAAAACCCTTGTGCTAGCTGCATTTGCTGGAAATCCGTTGTGCTTGTGACCCACAACGCTTCGCTGTCCGTAATCAATGTTTAGAACACGAACTTGAACATGTTCAGAGCTGCCATCCGGGGCCTTCAACCACTTGAAACTCCAGTTTGGAACCATCCGGCCATGCAATGCTGGAGCCCCGGATCGTCGCCACGTATTCCCCATCGGCGCCAACCCAGCGGCCAGCAAGACCACGAGATGCTTTCACCGCACGCGACATGGGTCGCGGAAGGGTCGGGCCATGGCCGGATACGCTGGCCAGTGGTTGTTTTGGATGTGCCTACTCAATTGTGAATGCTGAACATCTGCGAATCACCCTGAAACCTGAACCCTGTTCTGAAAAGTCTCAGCTCATCTGGGGCCAGAGGCATTTGGCAACCTCCGCTTACAAAGTCAAATGTCTGCAAGTCCCTAGCATCATCTATCATCCACCAAGTCAAAGCTCATTAGCTACCACTGAGCTGTTCTTGATGTGAAAATGATCATTGAGATCACGTCTTGGCAAACCACAGGTACTTCGTTCCCCAAAAGCTCCTCGCTCTCTTCGTTCCGCCTCGATCGCTTCAATCGCTTCTGCGTACAGGGTCCGTCCCCGCGAGTTTCGCGAACAGGTCGTCAGGCACCCCTGGAGCATAGGTCGTCTCCGGGCGCTGAAGTAAGTGCGCAATCACGTCCTTAGAGCGCACATGGTCGACCCGTCAACTGACCAAAAGTCCATCGGATGATGTGGGGGGGGAAAAGTCCATCAAGGGTGTTTTCAGATGGACTCGAACAACCTCGGGCTTTTCTTATGAAATCCGTTCAGGGAGAGGGGCTTTACCCAGTCATACCCAGAAAATCAATGTAAAATCAATAGGCGAAATCAACGTGCAGAGAAATGAGAGCGCAAAATGAACATGCGCTGACAAACTGTGACCAAGGAGTGTGCTAAAGGAACTGTTTTCTGGGTGTGACACGTAGAACATGGTAGAACCGTTTTCCTAAATGCCTGCGTCTGTGTGGTCAAGCCGGTCAAACACACTCGGCCGGCCATAGCCCTAGTCCCAGAGTTCAACCGTATTGTTGCATGGCAAAGGCTGTGGCCTGATTTGCACAAGAACTTGTATAGAACAGAATTTAATATAGTCAATAGTATATGCTACATTTGCAGTAGATTAGATAGTATATACACTATTATATCGAAAGGTTCTTTTTCAACTTCCTTCAAGCAGTGGGCCCTGGCCCAAGCAATGGAGCAGCAAATGGAGGACTTGGACTTTGCTGACTTTTGCCAGGAGTGGGACGACATCCTGCATACAATGGCTACGAAAACGAAAGAAAGAGACATAGAGCAAGACCAACAGTTGAATTACGTGCGCACCAAGAGTGCCACAAGTACAGGTCTTGTAGGATCAGCAGAATCAGGACCATCAGAAAGGGCTGAAGACCACAACACTTTGGTGGGACCAACACTTTGGTGGGCACGTCTTTTGAAGGAACATACTAATACATTTACCGTTAGGCCTAGGCCTGAAAGTGGTCATACTCGAGCAACGGCAGTGACATTGGTTTCTGGCTGCTCGGGCATCTGCGCAGAAGCTGAAGTGCTTAAGGCTACATGGATGCAATGTACCAGGGTACGAGGCTCCATTGATAGATCCTGGTAGTGGATGCAATAATGTAGCAACGTAGTTCTGTAGTCTGGAAGTTCGTCGTAGACTCTAGACTAGACTCTTCACATATGTTGTCATGTATTAGTAGTCAGCCTTCGTTACATAAAAGGAAATAGAATAGAGTAGAATTGAATAGGAACCTTTTCACGCTGGGTGCCGCCTAGGCTTTGGGTATTCCATTCAAATGCCTTGGTGCAGCCGAGATGAACACTAGCTACCAATCCGTGATCATGGCAAACAATCCCGGCCAGGTGAAGCACATGTACAATTCGCTTGAGGACATGCTCGATGACAAGCCTTGTTCTCTGCATGAATCGCATGGCTGCAAGACTTGCTGCACTTGCTCCGATGCTGACTCATCACCATGTTTGGGAGTGACGGGCAGTCCATGCAACCCGTATTCCATACGCAGAGCCAAACGATTTCAAGACGGCTCCATATCAGAGCACAGCATGAACGATACAACCCAGGGATCCGTCATCAAGTTTTACCAAAAATTTGAGCCTCGCACGGGAATATCAGAGCAAGTGATGGGCTTCGGAATGAGAACAAGTTCCAGTGTTTCGCAAACCCCATGTGAGCAGTTTCCTGGACAGTGAATACGAAACAATGTTTTTGTTTCCTTTTAAGGGCTGGGCCCTAGGCCCTGGCCCTAGCCCCCAGGCCTAGGCTGGTGGGCTTGCTCTCTCGGTTTGGATGTTCTATATATATATATATAGAAAGTGAGAAACTACCATGAATACTTTGCCAGTTACTTTGCCAAGGTTCGTCCAGCAAATGGCAGCTATGACTTGGAGACATGGCGGCTACTGGTATTGCAAGCTTCACATGGATGCCAGAATTTGGCTTCAGATAAGCAGGCCCAGGCGTGCAGGGGGGGAGGGTCAGGAAGGTGCCAGAGTCAGAGTAAGTAAGTACAAGTTGAGCAAAGCAAAAAAGATACTGTAGATAGTAGATTGTAGATTCTGGAACCCCTAGGCCCTAGAATTCCAGATTGCAATTTCAACATTGACATTCAACAATCAATAGAAGAGGAGTTGAACCGATGATCAGAATCAATTAAATATAAATAGACTCGAACATGACATTGAATCGAGTCCAGTGTACGCCGCAGGCATTTTGTAAAACAGCGACCATGCAGTTCAATCTGAAGTGTGAAACCGATGAGCATATCACTTTTGGCAGGCCGTATGCCATAGGGCCGGCCTAAACATAGACATAGATTCCATAAACTGAAGGACTCAAAGGTCTCGCTGTCTTTGACACAGTTCTCTCAACAATCAACAAAAGTACAAATAGTCATTAGTAAGTGACCGACTGACTTAGAAACTTAGAGAGCAGTTCGGTCATGGTTGGAGAACCAGAGAATGATCCTGATCATGATCGTGATTGGGATGATGAGTGGAATGCGTGGAAAGACCTTTCATGCGGCCCAAGACAATTCAAACCCGTTGCCGCAGCCACCAGAGCCAGCAAAACCAGGCGAGAGTCACGATGGACTAGGTGAGTGGGATGCTTTTCTTGAACAGGCCCTAGCACCTCCACCAAAAGCTTTTGAACATCAAAACATTGAAGGTCAGCACGGACACGAAGATCGATCTGGGAGAGTGCTATCAGAGGTAGAGGTAGAGCCTTCTGCAACTATGTATGGGCCACTTGATCATTTGCAATGTCTTGGTGGGCCTATTCAGAGAGGACTGTTCCAGGAGTTTTCCACTTTGGCGCTGGCTGCTACCAAACGATGTGGTGGGGGAATCCGTGCTATCTTAGAGAAAGAAACCCTGGAAGATACACTGGCTCAAGAGTTTGTGCACAATTCAGGGTACAAGTCTGCTCGATGCGAAGCTGAATCTACCCAGCGGGCCACGACTAGCCTTGCAAGAAACCTACTGCAATACGCTTGTGCGCTTCTTTTTGGGGCAACATTTCTGATTGGGGCTTTTCTTCAGTCATGGTCTGCATTGTTCCGGAGGAGGAAATACAAACCAACGGCTTGCATTACAAAGTACAAGTACGATGAGACACCATTGAAGATGCGTGTTCAGGAAGCCAACAAGTTCTTCCAAACATCCTGGTCAACTGGAGCACAGTCGCGCAACGTTCGCCAGAAGGCGGTGAAAGCGGGACAACTAACAACTGGAGAGGAAGTCTATGTCCACGCAAAGATCATGCGGGTTGAATGCAGCCTCAGCAACTAGGCTAAATCAAATGGGTTTGTTTCTCCAAGATAGCAGATAGCAGCACGGATTCCCTCACCACATCGTTTGGTAGAAGCCAGCCAGCGCCAAAGTGGAAAACTCCTGGAACAGTCCTCTTTGAACCACCAAGACATTGGCCCATACATAGTTGCAGAAGGCTGACCCTACCCAGGCCCTACCCGTACCCTCTACCCTACCCAATAGCACTCTCCCAGATCGATCTTTGTGTCTTTGTGTTTATGCTGGCCTTTCGCTATTCAAATCAAAGTGTCTATCATATTTAGTCATATTTGTACTATTACTAAGTAGCCGGGTCTGGGTCTGGGTAAAACAACGTTGTAGATTCGTAGATGCCCAAGACTCAAGACTCATGATTGAAGACTCTAGACTCTAGTGAGTGGCTGTTCCCCTGGTTTGGTGATTCTGTTTGCTTTTTTGTTACATCTGCTGAGCAGCTGGTTGTCGACAGCTCAGGCATTTTGGTGATGGATTCGTGGACCAATCATTTCCGCTTGATATCTGTGGATGTGCCCACAACCATGGTTGCACTAGACCGCAACACAGCTGAAAACAACGTCAATGCCCTTCAGCGGCAGGCAGCCCGACTACCTGGCCTTGAATGCTTTCAAGAGCAATTCGACTTCAACATCAGAATGGTGGTTGCAGATCGGGCTTCTAGCAACATTAGGTCGGAGAAATACTTCAAAGAACAAAGACCCACACAAGCATCATTACAGTATCCATGTGACATTCACAAGAAAGCAACATGCCTGAAGTCTGCCATGAATGTTGTCAACCAGGTTGTTTCTGGTGTGGTCAACGTTGGCTTGGCGATGGAATCCATTGGGTCGTTGGCTACCTTGCGGCAGATTCTCCAGTCAGTGTTCCAGGAAAAGCTGCAAATTGTCTATGCCACCCCACCCGCTGGTGACATAGCTGCTCACAGGAAACACATTTTAGATTTGTGCTGCTCAAGTCAACAAAAGGGATGGGAGATCACGGCAAAGGATATGAAGCGTCGGCTGGTATTGGAATATTTTTGCAACTCAGATTTGGAGTCAGATGACATCATTCACTATTGTCCATTTGGATGCTGCAGCAGCCCCCAGCAAACCATGGAATACTTTTGCAAACATGTTACCTGGGCACTTCTTCCAAAGAAGCCTGGTGTACTTTCTCGCAAGAGCTGGGTTGGTGCTGACTCACAATTCAATTGGGTAGCCATGCTTGCAGGCTTTTGGCATCTCCACAAGCATGTTCTGCTTGCGTACACAGGTAGTCCTGAAAAGCCACTGGAGTCTAAACCTGATGATGCTCCGAGCACTGTCTTGGCAGGCTTCAGTGGTGAGATTGATGAATTTCATGCCTGGAATGAGCTTGCGCGGGGGATGTTGGGCTTGAGTTCTGCTTCTGGTAGC